TTTAGGGAAATGATGTTTACAGTCAGTTAAGAAGCATCTGAGTTATGAGGTTCAGACAATGCATCCAAAAGAAATTCAAATAAAGTAAAGAAGACCAGTTTAAGTGCTTAGAGAAGTCCTATAGAGAATGATGCCTAGAAAATAGCTCCACACAAGCCAGATCCATTCCGTGAGACAGCAAATTATAATAAAAATATTACCCTCGAGTCATCCAACCTATACCATGTGTCTGGAGAAGAACGAATGAAGCTGAAGTAATGCCCAGAAGCAGATGAAAACCCAACATGGACGATAATTCCATAGAGATCATACATCAGCCCCGCCTATTTCAGAGAAGAAATGAAGTAAGTCTTTAAAACTGTCTCACTGTAATATCAAACTTTGATTAAAAAGAAGCTACGCGATCATGCCCAGCACATAATGTGACATTTTTCCCAGAACTTCAGATCATTGACTTTTGCTTGAAAATAATTCTATCATCCACCAAAATAGCCTTAACTCCACAGTACCAAATAATTATTTAATTGAAATCTATGTCCATACAGTCTAAATACTGCCTTCATGTGCCAATTATCTTGCTTTTAATACTTCTCATACTACTAGTAATACTATCATAAATGAACTAACAAAAAGCAGGTAATCAACTCACATTATCACCACTAGTACTAGTACTGTAGGACTGCAAGTCCAACTCCAATGAAAAGTCCACATGTTTATCAATCTTCTCGACAAAAGACCCATCAGCCTTAAACCTTTTCAAATGGAACACAGCAACAGATGGGGCCTGATCCACCATAAGTTGCTTTTCCACTGCCACCTCTTCCTTACAATTCTCACATGTAAACTTAATTTCTGAATCTTCGATCTTTTCCATCTTGGTAAAAGACCCCAGTGCACTTGGAACGCTGTCCACACTTTCAATCTCCAAACTCAGGTCAATCAGAGGTTCAAAAGTGTTGGAACTGTGACCACAGTTGCAACATTGGAGCTGAGAGTCAACCATGATGTTACAAGTCAGTAGGCAAAA